TTTGACTGAATCACATTCTTTCCCATCTTTTTTATTCCTCTGCCCAAAGAAAAAGACCCTAACTTTAAGGATGCCAGTTAATTGGGTGCTTAAAAGCAATGAACTTCACATTRTTTACAAATCAAGATGTGGTTCTGTTCCAGTTGACTGTCCTCTGGAAAGTTGCTAGCTGATTTGCATGGTGCCAATGGAGACTGTCATTTGACATGGTCCTGCATTATATTCTTGTCTCTAAAAGGGAGAGGCATGGATTAGGTGGATGGACCATTAGATGAATGAGGAATTGGCTGGATGGTAGCTCTCAAAAAAGTGGTAGTCAAAAGCTCAATGTCCAAGTACAGACTGTGGTGAGTGGTGTTCCACAGGGGTTGGCATTTGGACTGCTTCTGTTTAACACCTTTGTCATTGACATTGATAGTGGGATTGAGTGCACCTCCAGCAAGTTTGTTGAGGGCAAGCTGTCCTGGGCTGCATCAAAAGTAGCRTGGCCAGCAGGTCAAGGGAAGGAATTCTGCTGCTCTGCTCTGGTGAGACCCCACCTGGAGTGCTGCATCCAGCTCTGGGACCCCCAACATAATAGGGACATGGATCTGTTGGAGGAGGGCCTCCAGAGGAGGGCCATGAAGATGATAAGAGGGCTGGGGCATCTCTCCTGTAAAGACAGGCTGAGAGAGGTGGGATTGTTCAGCCTGGAGAAGCAAAGACTCTGGGAGGCATTACAGCAAACTTCCAGTACCTGAAGGGGGCCTGCAAGAGAGCGGGAGAGGAAATTGTATTTACAAGGGCCTGTAGTGACAATGTAGGGGAATGGCTTTGAACTGAAGGAGGGTAGGTTTAGATTAGATATTAAGAAGAAGTTCGTTACTGTAAGGGTGGTGAGAAACTGGAATTGGACATCCAGAGAAGTTGTGAATGTCCTGTCCCTGGAAGTGTTCAAGGCTAGGCTGGATGCGGCTCTGAACAACCTGGTCTAGTGGAAGGTGTCATTGACCATGGCAGGGGATTTCAAACTAGTTGATCTTTAAGRTCTCTTCTAATGCAAACCATTMTATGAGTTGTCATATTAGTAATTTTAATCTACTTGAATTAATCTTTTGTAACATAAAACTGTATGTGCTTTTCATCATGYCTTAAGATGTCTGTATGATTTAAAAATATCACTGTTTTGCTGAAARTTCATCTTCATAAGTGAAGTACTTTGCAGTGGTTATGGAGAAATTAATCTGAGATGAAGCTGAACTATGTGGATGCTGAAGTAGTTGCATGGTAAATGGTTTTGGGATCTGCAAGAGCTTTTTTTCTTAATATATGAAGTCAGAAACGGGAGGTGTTTGAGTAGGTGTTATAGTTTGTATAGTAAGCTTGTGTGCTGGATCATGTGGCAATGACACATCCTCTTCTGATCTGGAAGCCAGTGTTGGTATAAATGTTGACTGCTAGTATTTTATGGTTTGGTTAGAAACGTGTTTGATCAACAGTCAGGGTATCATTAGTGATGTAGGCAGTTCTTTGAAACGTAAGCACTTCAGTAATGCATTTGTTGCTAAATAAAAGACAAAATAAAAAGATAGGTTGTTTACTTGTTGAAAGTCCATGGTGCCTTTTCAGACTGTTCTTTCCTTGCTCTCTGACAGCCGACTGCCCAGTTTCCCAGGTTACATTCAACAGTGGTATATTCCCACCTTCAAGTCCAAGGACTGCTCTGGGCTCTTTTCCTGTTTTCATGGTGTTATTTGTGGAAAAGAGGCAGACCAGAGAGAGTTTTCAAAACATGCTCCAATTATGTCAAGTTGTCATTGCCACAGCCTCTGACAGAGTAACTCTTGAACTTGGCAGGCAGTGCTCCACTGTTAAGTTCTTACTTTTCGGATTCAGCCCTTTGAAGCTTGGAAGTTGGGCTGATATAASTGTTTTATTAGAGTTTACTTTCTATTTCAAGCTCTCAGTGAGTTTGTGTATTATCCTTTGCTTGTAAACAATTCAATATCTGATTTGTTCGCAGTACCGATTATCGGTCTTGAAACTCAACAGTCTCCCCAAGAAGAGTTTTCTGTGCATGTTGTGATTGGAAAGGATATTCTATTTATATACATTTGATTGTGAATTATTTTATTGCAAAATGCCGCTTCATTTCAAGACTTACAAAATGTGTTTCATTAACATTTTATTAATAGTTACTTTATTTTTGATTGTTTTGTTTTTTTGGTAGTTAGAGATGGCACAAAATTGTACTGTCTTTTTTGCAATATAAGCTTTTATTATTGGCTTCCTTAGGGGATATACTTGTTTTCTGGACTTAATTGAGAATTTGATAGAGATGTATTCCAGGCAGAATTAAGATCTTGGCAGCTGGTCATCTTGGGGCTGACTATTGCAGGAAAGAAAGGACTTTTGTTGGAGTTCGGTACCTTGCAGTTGCTGTGTTTCTCTGTATTCTGATGTGAGACTAAGAAAAAAAATCTTATTGTTATCAACACAATAAAAATTAAAACTAAGTCAGTATTGACTTTGCTGTTTAGGGCTTGATTGCTTTTCTTAATTCCCACCTAAAATTTGATGTTGTGTCTATTGTATAATAAGCAAATTTGAAAAGCAGACTTGATCTATGGGGGGTGGCTGAGAATATTTTTTTGAACGAAGATGGAGTGTTATTTGATACTGAATTAAATCGCTGACAGCAGATTCAACTTCTACAGGTTCTACTGGGGACTCTGAGTAACTTTCTTCAATTCTTATTTATTGATGAAAAAGATGATGATAATCAGAGACAGTGCAACAGTCAGCAGCTCTCATGATTGTTTGCTGAGTAAGAACATCCTGAATGCTCAAATTTTGTAGAATATTAGTAGTTTCTATTTTCAAGGTTTTTTTTGTAATTTGTCTGAGTGTAAGCATCTCATTTCATAGGTGTATGTACTTCTACTGAAGCAAAGTTTTGTGAAATTAGAGAAGGTTCTTGCCCTTACCAGAGGGCCCTGCAGTTGCACTTRTGAGCTGGAAGCTTGTTCTGTGCATTCTCTGCATATTTATTCTACAAGGCACAAAAGAAAAGAGCAGGTGGCTGCTTATAGTTTTAGAATATATGCGTCTATCTTCATGTCAAGAAATAAGTCACTATTTTAGACCTTTTCTGAGTGCTTCTCAGCTACTGCTTTTCGACATCCCTCCGACYCCCCAGAACCTTTGTCTCTTCACTTTTGTTGTAATCAGCCTTGCTTGTTCCTCTTTTTTTAAAGTACATTTGATTTAGAGATAGTAATTTCCTAGTGACTCCTAATGAGATTCTAAGAGTAAATAATTTTTGGGTTTTGTTTCTATACTTTGTTCGCAGAACTGCTGTACAACWAATTCAATTAATTTCAAGTGGTCAGTGAAAACTTGGGTTTTTTCTCCTTACTATCAGATGTTAGTAATGCCAATGTGTTAATGGGTTGATTTGTTTGTTTTTTTTGGGTATGATTTTTCTCAGTAAGTAAACTTAAGAACTGCTGCAAATGCCTACTGSCTCAGACTTTAAACCTTGCATTGAAATGAGTTTCCTCTAACTGGAACTGTAGAATTCAGTTGAAAATTAATTCAAAGAACAGGATATGTTTAATGTGTGGGGATTATGAMGGGGAGTGTATGCTTTTCCTGGGATTTATCATATACAAAAATATTTCTGAAAAATAATATTTTTTGAAAGGGACTTGTTTTCCTTAATAATTTCCTTATTAATAGCATATTCGTTTTGCAGTTTTTCATGATACKTTGTCTTCAGAGCAAAAAGTTATTTTACTCTCTGAATTCAAGCCTATGTTATGTAGGATAATTCATTCTGGACACACATAGCAGATAAGAAAAAGAGACAGGAAAATCCCGTGACTGATAAGTGYAGTTGGGAGCAGCCTGTAAACAGTCAGGAAGGTCTCTGCAGAAGTTAGCCCACTTCGGGCACAGTGCTTTTGTTGGTGGCACTTCAAAAAAACCCCACTGTTACAACTTCAGGACAATCTTAAAAAAGTTCCAAAATCTGATTTTCATGTTTTGGATTAGATTTTAATGGTGCTCAAATGAATTTTTAAAATATTATTTTTAAGTATAATTTTGCAAATAAATCTTTATTTAAAGCAAGTAGCAATCAATCATTGAAATGTCAGTTATTTGTAGTTTATAGTATATAYTTTAATGCAAGTAATTAGTTCATTTCTTCCATTTGTTTTCCAAAGTTTTCTGTTATTCATGAATGTCTCTTCAGAATTAAAAAAAAAATAGAATTATCAATTCCATTCTGTTACAAAGCCCTTGAATAAAATTGCAAGGAAAAATGGCTACTTCTGACATTTTACATGCATGACTGTTTATATTTTATTTTGAAAAGTGATTGAGGATTCAGAGTGTTTTGATATAAAAACTTTTTGTCCTCAGTCTGCCCCCAGCATAAGAATTCTGATTGTGTTGGAGTTTCTTTACAAAAGAATGTTTTTTCTTTGCTAATACAAGACAAACAGACCTTGAGATCGAAGTACTGAGTGATGATGCTTCAACTCCGTATTTCTAACTTGCTTTTGTATATTTTGCAATAGTTACTTRTATAGCTTCTTAGAAATATGAAGTGTATCTTGTTTAGTGTGTATAGTGATACTGATTTCTTACTGATGACWTTTGCCAGAATCAAAGGTGTGCATGAAGTTGAGTTTTTCAAGGTGATAGATCTTTGCAAATGGTTTCACAAAAGCATCTGTAACTGCTGGTTAAGTCTTGTTCAACAATCAGTATCTTAAGCGTTGTTTGATTTAATTTTAGTATCACAGAAGGGTTTGGGCTGGAAGGGATCATTAAAGATGATGCAGATGTAGTCTAACCCCTGCCAGGGGTGGTATGATGAGGTTRAGAGTGTTAGAGATCTGTGTAAGGCAGTGTGATTTCTCATAGTACTATGAATGTGTTAACCTTTTCACAGACCCTTGCATTGCAGAAGCGAAAMAATGCCTTCAATTTATTTATTTGTTTGTTTATAGAAAATGGAATAATCAAAACAGACAAGGTGTTTGAAGTAATGCTAGCTACAGACCGCTGCCACTATGCAAAATACAACCCTTACATGGACTCTCCACAGTCAATAGGTAAGAACATCTTGCAAAAGTGATAGAGATAGTTTTCATTCGTGTAACTGTGATTGCTTTTGCCATTTATGTGTTAACAGWGTGAAAATRATTTTCATTTGGRAGGTTGTTTTGTTCTTCATCAGTTGGAYACCTTTTAACTAAGTTTCAGTTTCTTTTGGAATGCAGTTGACATATTTGGATACATCAGGTAGAGAGGTGTTTTTCAGTCAATATTAGTATGTGTAAATAGGTGTTTCTTTTTCAAACCACAGTGATTTATGATGATGCAGCTGATGTTTAAATACTTTAAAATTATTTRCATCCAGTTTATGATAGAAATGGTCTCCATCTTTACAGAAATTATTCTATTGGGACCAATGCAAAGTTTCCTAAACCCTTATGTGAAATCTTTAAAATACAATAATAGGCTTTAAATGGGAAGGTCTACTGATAGGACTGTTGCTTAGGACAGTTGTTTCCAAGTCAAGAGAATGAATTATGTAAATGTACTAATTTCTTTTTTCTTKATCTTCTCCCTCCCTTTAGTAGTGTATAGTGAGTGAATTTTATTAGGATTTTGTTAGTTGTATAGGAAAATTCAAAAATATTTTAAGATACATAAGCTTTTGAGTATRTATCTTCACAAAAAMAGATAYAGATGAGCGTTCCTCCTGTTCTCASAGGTGTTTGTTCTCATTTGCTGTTTGCTAAATAGACAGGGTTGTTCTCAGATGTGCTGTAGTCACCACGACATGAAACTCAAACTAACAAATTCAGGTTTTACCTAGGGGCTGAGTGAAAAAGGAATTACATTATTCTGGGAGACATTACCCTTCTGACTTCAATGTATTTGATCAAGATTAAGGCAGTATAGTGACAAAATGGAGATTGTAACTGAGATCAAGGATAAAACCTTTATTTTTTTCCTGTCCAGAGCTGACTCAGTGTAGCATTCAGTCAATGTACTGTAACTCACTTCTAACATAGTGACCTGTGTAACTGCTGAGGTGTGGATGTTGTACCCYGAATGAGGGTGACAATGGGGGCATTACATTTTACAGTCGAGTTAATAAAGATTGTAAGGTTGCTGTCTGAACAACAATGAACATCTTCCATTCTCTTGTTTTACAGGTTTCCAAGCAACAATCAGTGCTCCACATATGGTAAGCTTTAGACCTAGGTGATTAGTATAGGTGATTCTATAAACATGCAGATGCTTTTGAAATAAAATATTTACTCGAGTAAATTTAAGGAGCAGTTGATTGCAGTGATACTGCTGTGAACAGGCTACTGGGGGGCACAGAAAAGATTGATCAAGACTTTTCTTGCAGATATAAGTAATAGGATGAGGGGTAGAAGACAAAAAAAGGCAACATAGGAAATGCTAATTAGTTTCTAGTGTAAAAAAAACCATTTTGAGCCTAGTTAAGCACTGAAACAGGCTTTGCATATTGTGGAAATTCTACTCTTTGATATACAAAGAAGATGACTGAAAGGGCTCTAAGCAGCCTAATTTAAAATGCCCATGTATTGGAAGAGGACTGGACCAGATGATTTCCAGAGATCTTTCCTAAGTAAATTACACAGTAATTTATAGGAATAAAAGAATTCAGGAGTGGATGACAGTGATTTGTATAGTATGGTATTGCTGTAATGACTTTAAATCTTTGGACAGKAGAAAAAATACATTGTAATGAGTTGCAGGTTTTTTGCGAAGTGGTTTGTGACCAGGGTGAGTGTTCCAGTAGGGTTTTCAGTGCATGCATCTAACCTGGATATAATTTTTCTATGTTTCTTTATTTGAGATAAACAGTATACAGAAGCAAATATTTTGTTTCTGCAATGTTTGGAAAGTGTCAAAACACAGTAAAAGTCTGTTTTTCTTGACTAAAAACTGTGTAGTTGGCTTAGAATTTACTTCRTTATCAATATTAAAAAATCAGGAATTTTATATAGAAATGTTAATGATATTATTCMAGAAAAGATAGAAAAAAGTACTGTGGCTAAGGGGAAAAATAATTATTAATTATGGTTTCAAATTTTAAGTCCCTTAAGTCATTATTTTTGATTTGTCCTATGCTTAGCCCTGATASCGTATGAAGTGTTAGAGGAAGAAGGTAGTATATCCTCTAAGCAAATGTTAACAAGGAATGTTCTAATTATTTCTGTTTTCGGGTAGGATGGATTAACCTGAAAGAATGTGGATATCTCTGAAACATTAAAGAACAAATTGTGTTTTTAGTGTGTGACCTGAGCTTGTGTACTGGTCCACCACATAGGCAAGCAGAAGTCCTATGTGTGTGTGTAGACTACTGCATTTCATATGAGTCTGGCTGTCTGCCTTTGTAAAAGACAACTTCTTTTTCCTATACTTTGGTCCAGCAAGTGTGCAAGAAATATAAGAGGTAGTTTTAATAGCCATTTTCCTTGATGCTCTGGAGCTACCTTCTTCTTAGTTAGCTTTTGTCCCACCTTATTCCAATGTATMTAGTATAATGATAAGCTATATTCTTTATTAGCCATTTACTTACTGGCCGGAATGGTAAGAGTCACCAGACCTGACGAGAAATGAATTGATTATAGTGTCTTTCCTAATATGTCAATAGAGGCTGTGCTAGAAACTTGAATAGCCAGATGAGGCTATGTATATGGATGCTAACAAAAAAAAAAAAAAAAGCCCACMTGAAATTTGTTGAAGCCAATGAAATAACAATGATTATATCGTGTAGCTAATTCCTTCCCCCCCATTTTTGGTAATAGAAATGATTCTGAAAATTCTTACACAAATGCTTAGGGCATTTCCCAAAATCTGTGAAGAAATTAACATAGACACTCCAAGTATTTTGAAATTTTCTGTCTCTGTCTTCTCTTAGCATGCATATGCTCTTGAACTCCTGTCTGATCAATTACAYGAAGGAGCCAAAGCACTCGATGTAGGATCTGGTAGTGGAATCCTTACAGCATGCTTTTCACGAATGGTGAGTTATTTAGTTTAATCACTTGATTATTGGAACTGCTTGAACTCTAGTGTAACTCTTCATTACAGGGCAAAAAAAAGTATCCTTCATACAGTGGACTGAAGTATATTACACAGAAAATAATTTACTCTCCTGGATGTGATTGGTACCAACTTCTCATGGTAGATGATAGTAAGAAGTTCAAGTTAAAASGGCCAATAAATTGTGTAATGGTGAAGAAACTGCCTAGACAGGAAGTTTGGGGATTTTGGATTGGGTATTTTTTTAATGTTTGCATTTCAGTTGTTGCTTTATACCTTGAAGGAAGAAGATGTTTGTCTGAACAGCTCAATTTTTATCCTGTATGGCTATGAATCATTGTGATAAATTGTCATATATTCCTACTATGGTGAGAGCTTAATAAGATATAAAAGAATCCTATTTGCACAGGAAAATATGTAAATTGTCTTTGAATTTAATTGCATTCTTTTCTTGTTATATTGCACAAGCATTACTATAAGTGTCTGTTTAACCTTTTATAATTTAGATATTAATTTGTATTTTACATCTTTTCCAATAACTGAACCTGTACCTAAGGAACTTCCTGTGTTCTGCCCTATCTTTCATCAGCAAAAAAGGATGAAAGAATTTGGGGTTTGGTGGCTGTAGCTATAGTACTGTTAGACTGATTCATGAAGAAGAATCTAATACATTCTTCCTTCTCTGTTCCAGGGCTTTATAGCTGCTTTATGACTAGCAGAGACCTTCATTAAACTGGCAACTAGATTTTTGGTTTTACCTTTCTGCARAGTTAATTTGAAATGTGCTGATACGCATGATAAATTCTTATTTAGGTTCCTTTTTTCAAGCACTCATCTGAGTCTGCAATCACTTCTGTTTTCCTGTGTTAAGAATTAGCTAAGAAAGTTTAGGACTAGGCAATGCACTTGCAAAAGTATTTGGGTTTCTAAGTGTTACCTGCAAAAATCTAAAAAAAAAAAAAAAAAAAAACCAAAAAATATCCTGTGAAGTTGAAATAAGTTTACCAAACATCTGTTTAGAGGAAATCTTAAATGTTACTTACTCAACTATTATTTTTGGTCTGACGGTGTAGTCAAGTAATCGAGTGCTAGCATGAGAATGCCAATCCTACAAGCATTAAAACTTTTGTCCAGGCTTTGTGTATTTCTCACTGAAGTTATGAATGCATAAAKGAGAAGCCGTTTTCAATAGGACCTGTGCTAAATTGTGGTTGTGCACTTTTTTCAACTAAAACAGCTGCAGAGAAGTCAGAAAYAGCACAAAAAGGAAGTCTCTTTCCAATTTTGTTGAAGATAATCCCTCTATTTCTTTATTGCCTTATAAATGTCATGTACTTCTTATGAATCCTCCTTGGTGGTTTGCAGTAGAGTGCCTTACAGATGTGTGCGTTGTGAAAAATTGTGTAAATGCTTTCRTTCTGTTTGATAGCATTGCTGACAGTAAGGAAAACTTGAAAGAAGTATATTATGGGAATTAATGGTAGAGTGTTTTGCCATCAAAAAAAAAAAAAGTTGGGGATGTGCTTTTTATGATTATGTTGACATTTCTCAGTCTACTTGAGACSTAGAATTAATAGCTTACCTTTATGGCACAAGCTCCTCAGTGCACATTGATGACAACTTTAGTCTTAGCATGATAATCTCATTTGTGGCACCTTTGGGAAAGCTTTGTGTTTACTTAGACTAATAAAGCATCTTTAAGATTTTTGTTTGGATTTTCATGTTAAACTTCTGTGATAAACTTACCTACACAGCTTGCAAAATGAAGTTTATTTACTTTTGAAGATTGCTGGCAAATTAAATGAATTACAGTTTTTGTCCTGTCAGTACTGGATTCATGAAAAGAGTGGAGAATATTTTTATTCCTAACATGGAGATCACAAAACTTGTGCCATCTTTCTGTTGTCTCAAGTTCACATGCTTCACAGTTCCAGGGTTATAGGCAGAGGTAACTGATGAGGATTCAGAAATAGCATGATGGACTGTCACATGCAGCAGGAKGTTCTCTTACTTTACCAGGCTCTTTCATGCTCTGCCCATTCTTCTAAATWTTAATTTCTGTTACTGTTTGGAATATGCTGGACCTTTTGCCAGCTTACAGTACAACTGTTTGCGAGGCATTCCTCCAAACAGCAGCCTATGGCTGTCAGTGAAAACTTGCTGTGTCTGGCTCTGTTTCAAAGGCTGGGCTGGTGGTCTGCCACTCAAACACGAAAAGCTAGTAACTGCTCTTCTAATGTTTTTAACATAGGATTTGTTCATAGGAGAACCAAAAAAAAAATTCTTCAGGATAACTAGTTTTAATTTTCCATTTCTTAACSACATAGAAAATGTAAGATACACAAACACAAACAATGCATTCAAATGTGTCCAAGGACAATTGTATGGCAACATGGGCTGCTGCTGGGACATACTCTGCCTTTGTGTTCTTTGAGCTGTATCCTGTTAAAAGTAGTCAGATTTTTGAAGATTTGGATCAATTTTGAGTATTTTTTCTGGGCTAGACAGAAGAAATAGCTAGAAGAAACACCTGTAATGGAGAAGCTTTTGTTAGTAGACTTTTTTTTCCCCCTCAGAATACAGAGAGATTTTGTGACCTTTTTTGARTTATGAGCTCTCAGAAGTTTCGCTCTTCCTGTGGATGAGAGCTGTAAATCTGAAAGTAGATTCGTGAATGCAAGGGTAAGTGGAAGGTAATTTGTCCCTGAGTGGTAATTGCAGCATTTACTTCTGAGGGAATAAGACCCTTGAGATAGCTTAGAATAAAAGGCATGATTTAATCTTTGAAGTAAGGTTTTCTTTAGAAAACCTTAATCTTTAATAAGTTTTCTTCAATGTGAAAGGAGAGTAGTTCTAGTCTTGTTACTTTCTTTTGCAGGTAATAAAAACAAACATGATCAAATTTAACTTCTAAAAATTCCAGGAAGAAATCTCCACTAACAATATGACACAACTGAATCACATCTTAAAAAAATCACTATAACAAGTATTTATAAAGCTGTGCAGATACATTTTAAGTATCAGGTTCTTCTAGCCGTCAGGATTTGTCCTTTCAAGCAGTACTTTTAATGACATTGGGAAAATATACTTCCACTTTGCTTGTTTTTGTTTTTATTTTAGGGAAATGGGGTCAGGAAGTGAAAATAATTATGATGTAAATAAAACTAGCAGAAATTGTTCAATTGTATATTTTTATTCCAGGTTGGTCCCAAAGGACAAGTTGTAGGAATTGATCATATCAAAGAACTAGTAGATGACTCAATAAATAATGTCAAAAAAGATGATCCCACATTGCTGTCTTCAGGAAGAGTCAAACTGATTGGTGAGCATCAGACTGACATACTTACTAATTAAACTGAAATTCTTTCTAGTAGCTGCTTGAAAATGACTGAATTGGATGTTATTAAAAGTTTGAATTTATGAAGTTAACCAAAGAAAGAAGAGCCAAATGAAACTTTAAAATCCAAGTTGTGTTTAGGCCTGTGAAAAACAATATCTTCCTCCAGTTTTGAGAATATGACTTCTGGTAATCTCAAAAAATATGTAATCATTCTACTAGAAAAGATTAACAGGGTGGTTTTTTTTCGGTGAAAATACTTTATATGTTGAAGGTTTGTCATGTTAAATACCCAATTTAAAATAGGGGTTGAATTCAAACTGTTCTTGAATAAATACCCTGTCATCTAAATTTTGTTGTTTTAACAAAGCCTTCACACTTCTGATACAGTGGTTGAGAAAGCTGCATGCAAAGATTCAAATATTAGATTGGCATTATGCACCACTGAAGTTTATTTCACTTGTTTTCAAAGTTGACAGTAGTTGTATGTCAGGGAAGTGATTAATTGACACCAGAGTACTTTAATTCAGTTAACAGTCACTGAGAGGAAATAATGCCAAAACAATAAAAGGACAATTGAATTGTTTTAAATAATGGGGGCTTTTTTTACTAAATAGAAGAAGATTTAAATTTTTTGTTTGCTTGGGTTTTTTATTTGTTTGTTTGTTTGTTTGTTTGTTTTTCTTAGAAGATGCATGGCTGGCAGTAATGTAATTCTATTAATTAAGTTTAAAAAAAAGAGGTTGAAGGTCTGGATGTTTTTTGAGGCTTCTTACAAGAACACTTGGAAAAGTGATTATTATGAGATGTTTGGCTCTTAGCTTAATTACCATTTTGATTCATGGTCTTTTTTTTTTGTAAATGAGGGACTTTTCTAAATATTTTTAAAATAAGTTTATCAACACATACTCATGCATAAAATGCCATGTATCTCACTGAGAACACTTATGTCTCAGAACTTCTTGGAAAAGAAGTTAGACTTCTAGGGCTGTAGAGGGGGAATGGGGGAGTAATTTCCATTGTTGCTGTACAAAAGCAATTTGGACTTATGCTTCTGGTTGTCCCTGAAATAAACTCTGGTGCTCTTGTGAGTCTGGAATTCTAAGTAAACATAATTTTCTGTATTATCTTTGACTAGGTAGCAGGATGACTAAGACACTTGTGAGTGGTTTTCTTGTGAGCTACATTTTTAAAAAGTACAGATGGACAAGTAACGCTTCTGTGGATTAGGTGAGGAAGAGTGTTTCAACTCTCCTGGATTCCTGGGAGCTRTGTGATGTGGAGCAAGAATCCAAACAGCTCTTTAAAACAGAAAGAGCAACAGAAAGCATCCACCCAAATACTCCTGTCCCAAACATACCAACAAAAAATCTATGAAAACCAGTAGATTGATGTATGAATTAAGACCAGGTGTGTCAGTTGCTGGCTTTTCACACGATGCTTCAGACATTCTGCATAGCTTTGTCAAACCTTACATATACTATAACTGCATTTCAGGAGCACCAGAATTATTTTTGGGTGTCTCAGTAATAGAACTGCACTGAGAAATTGGGAATAGATTATTTGGGAATAATGTATTTAGATTAATATGTCTTTGTTGRTTTGTGAGTATTTTGGCTTCCTTTTTTTGGGGTGTAGCTTGACTTTTGTTTTGTTTCCTCCTAATATCATGAGAAAGCCTTTGAGGTGAATCTCTCAAGTGCTCCTGCTTACCACACTTTGGCTTACAAGAGAGTAMTCCTGGAAACCACAAACTTTGATTCCTTTTGCATGAAACTAGACAAGATTATGTGCCACAATAACAACCAAATATGTTTGATATGTGGATATTAAGACAATAACACTAGATCTAGACTGAAGTGATTATCCTGAAATGCATATGTTGCATGGACCCCAGGTTCTCAGCAAAAACTTTTGCTGTACAAATCTGCTTACGTTGTACTGCACAATTTGCTGATGCAGCCATAGCCAGTGGGGATGTGGGATTCTAACCACAGGGAAGTGATTTTCTTCTGTTTCTGTGTGAAACAGATCTGTCTAGAGGCACTGAAGGCTCTGAGTATTGTGATCAGCGGGTCAGGTCTAGGTTCATAAACAAGCTACACAACCMTTTTACATCAAAAAGTCCTGATATTGCTTTTTTCCTCATCACCACGTGCCACTCACCACCATGATTTTTTCACTAATAGGCTGCATGTAGCTGGAGATGTGAGTAGGATAGGTGATATTATCCAGGATGTAAGCACAAGCTGAAAATTTGGGCTTCTCTTTCCTTTTGGACATTGAATAATATAATAATTTGAATGACGTTGAATATATGAATACCAATTTAACTATTTTTTAAATCTTCTGGGTATTTAAGAGTGTGTTGCCATTGTGGGCGGATATATTTCGTCTGTAACCATAAGAATTTTTGTGGATTTTAAAAGGGAAGAGCTGTCCTATACCTGATGCATATAAAGGAGCGTGATTTTTTTTTCCCCTTTGGTTGAGTGTGTGCTGTTTTTTAAGATGTTAGCTGTGGTTTGGAGTACTGATTCAAAGATCAGAGGTTAGATGTTTTTGGGCCTATTTTACTTCTGTCAGTGAGGTGGTAAGATGTGCAGAAGTCACATTCAGACTTCTGGACAGTGCAGCAGGGACATTTATGTCTCAGAACATGTGTGCTCTTCTTCAGAAATGACAACAGTTTCTTTCACAGCTACTTCTTCAACTTGGCAGTTGCTTCTTTTGCCAGCAGTATAGGTGACCACTGCCTCTAATGCCTGCTGCTGCACCCCGGGGAATGCGAGTCTGCCTCCTTGTGTMACTAGCATAATTTGTAACAGTATCTATATGAATAAGCTAAAAAAATCTTTCTGTCTTGCCTTYTCTGATTGAAGAGCCACTTGATATAGTAACACATCATTGCTACTTCTAAGCTACTAAGTGCTACTAAGATTTATAAGTATAATTTATATACTTGGCTGCGCTGACGTTGTTGTTCCCGTAGAACCCACTTTGGCAATTAAAGGGATTACTCTCTGGAAAATACTCCTAATTTTCATTACTGATGTTCTCTGTTGCCAGCTGATTTAGTGGAAATGGTGATCAATAGGAATGAGTTCTTTTGAAGGACTGGTAGTTCTTGCTTGGCAGCCTTTGCTTATKGCCCTTGGTTGGAGTTTGTGCTGGTCAGAATTGATGATATGAGGATTTATGTCGCTGACCTTCTCAGCTACTCTTAAAGAGCATGGGTCTAGAAGGTCCTTACCAGGGTCATCTTTTAGGACCACATAGGGAAGATGACAAACACTCCAGTTTTAATTGTTTCAAGGACCTGTCCAGGTCTTCCTGTACAGTGTTAGATACCTAAGGGTGTTCTTGCAATCCAGATGGCCCTCCTTATGACAGAGGTCAAAATGAAACCTACTGTGGTGACCATGTATTTTTCCTGCCTCTTGAGTTATTGGAAGGCAAAAAGTTGACAGATTTTCAGCCTCTGACTGGGGCATAGAACTTGTTTTGACTGTTTTGGTTTTAATTAACCTGTGATACTGCTGATTGCACAGAAGTCAAAGCTCAGCCTGAAGATGGGAAACCCCAAACTACTTGTGCTGAGCAGAGGACTATTCCCCTTTTCCTCCATGTTTTTTTTCTTCTTGACTCATTATTGGGACTTCTGCTATCACAGAGTATGAATTCATGGATGGTTCAGCCTCATAGATTATGTTTGTTCTAAATAACTTCAAAGAGAGCCTGCCTAACTTGCTCTGAATTTGCTGTTGGTTTCCTTTAAATACTGTGGATGCCATATTCTTTCTTCACCTATGTTCATTATCTCCTTTCAAAACTTAACTCAGGGTCCATTTTAGTTTGTCACATTTCATCGGCTTAAGAAACCCAAAGTGTTACTCTTACCTTTTGCATAACTGGGTTGGTACAAGACATCTTTGATGGGTGCTTCTCCATGAGTTTCCCATCAAAACTGAAACTTTAATTACTCGTAGCATCTTCCAAGCAGCCACGTGGAGCTTTAGCCATAGGTCTGACCTGGCTCTCTGTATTAGTCCAGTGATTGTCTGCAGGAAGAAGAATGAGGCCCATCTGCTGGCAAATGTGGGGTGTGCAGAGGTTTCTGCAGTATTGCATTCATGTATGGCTGTAAGTGTGAGCTTTTATTCCAACTGGTAGTGTAGTTGTAGACATACAGTCCATGGGAACACTTCCTTTGTCTTTTCTTACCTTTACAGTCTTCTGATCTGTGCTTCTGAGGTTTAATGCTTTGGACTTAAACTTTGCATTAAATTTAGGAATGGTGTAAATGAAGACAAGGCAAAGTAAAGTGTATGTTCTAAGAGGGTAAATGAGGGGGGAAATTCACCTGCATTGGAATTGGTAGGGAACATAAGTATTTTAGTGTCTTTTCTCCAAACACTTTCATCATAAATCCATGATGATGGATTTCTAATTTCAGGTGCTTCAATAATATTTAATGTCTTTTATAAGCATGCATGTGCATATATGAGGGTGCTTTGTTGCATTTATTTTACAAATGTGTTTATTTTTTTAAACTGACTTCATCATGCTATAACTGTGCAGCAAAACCTTAGTTGGAATCTGAGTATAGCTTTTACATATAGATATGGGAAATCAGTTGTTTTCTCCACTCCTTTTGAAAATTATTTTTAAAAAGTGTTTTCTTGCAGTGGGAGATGGACGAATGGGATATGCAGAGGAAGCTCCCTATGACGCGATTCATGTTGGAGCGGCAGCCCCAGTTGTGCCCCAAGCAGTAAGCCTTTATGTTTTGTGTGTGTGTTTCTGTAATATCCTAGCTGTAGAGAATGCTTTGCWTACATCTATATGTAAAATACTTGGTAGATTGCACTGCTGGGAGTATCAGTGGGCAGTGTGGTATTACTGTATGGTGTGGGGGTTTTGTCTCTGTTATAATTGGGCTTCCTGTTGTTTTGATAAAGCTGTATGTTCTAATAACTCTGCTCTAAATAAACATGTTTTAAAATTACATGTGTGCAACCCTCTGTTACAGTAAACTGGAGCATTTTATTTAATAACATAATTCAATTTTGTCAGACACTGAGTTACAAAATTTAAGTGTGTTTCCTGATTTCCAAAGCACTGAGCCTGTTGAAAATAAAATACTCAGCTGGAAATACAAACAGTGCTGTCCGTTTGTAGCTTTCAGAATGGATACAGGGCAATTCTTGCTAGAGAAGATGAAGAGTAACTAGGAGCTTTAGAGTGTGCATTTTTGCAGATAAGATTTTCTTTTCTCTTCCATTTATCAGGCACATGTAGTACATAGCATGATTTTGATATGCTAGCTGCCATTTAAGGTTTTTACATCTTTATGAGTGATGAAAGACTGGAGCTTGAGGTGCTATAGACAGACTGGACCTTTCCAGACAAGGACCAGTCGGSGGGAGGGGGGAGTTTTGCTTTGCTTTTTTTTGAAGTTGGTTATGTTTTTTAGGGAGGTTTATTTGTTTCGGGTATTTTTTGTGTGGGTACAGGAGAATGTTCCCAATGAAGTGCTGACAATTGACAATTTAAATGTAATGGAAAGCTTATTAGTGAATGAAACAGTTCTTAATTATAACTTTTTCATTCCGTTTTTTTTCATGACATCTGGGAAGTATGGAATTTTCCTTGAGACCACTGTGATTAGCTGCCTTTAACTATGAAAAAAAAATTCCAAGCATTTCTCACATACTGTTTACCTGTCACTTATCTTACTCATATTCATATATTTTAGACTAGTTTCATAAAAGGCTGTTCCATTCACAAAATGAAAGAGGAGTTGTTGGGTAGTGAGTATGTTGTAGACAAAATTATTCCAGGAAGAGAAATTTAAAAAAGTCACCAATCTCAAATCTTAATCTTAGGGCATAAGGGGACATCAGTTACCCCCAAAATTTTTGATGATGGGCCTGTACTGATGCACAATAACTACTGAACAGTTAAAACAACAGTTTAAAAAGATTGAACCTGCTGCAAAAATAATTTGTGATTTATATGTTTCCCCCACATATATAGAAAATAAAACTGTAACCAACTCAGTTAATGAAATTATTTTATTGTAATACCAGTTGTTGTACCATGTTGCTGTGATACTCTCATTTTCAGTGCATAAAAGTAGATAGACACATAATGGCAAAGCTGTTAATATACTGTAACAAACAACGTCCAGCTTCTCTGAAGTGGCTGGTTACATTCTAATTTCTGTGTTGTGTTCTAGCTTATAGACCAGTTAAAACCTGGCGGAAGATTGATATTACCAGTTGGCCCTGCTGGGGGAAACCAGATGCTCGAACAGTATGACAAACTAGAAGATGGCAGTGTCAAAATGAAGCCTCTGATGGGAGTGATATATGTGCCTTTAACAGATAAAGAGAAGCAGTGGTCCAGGTGGAAGTGATTTTCTGTTCCACTTACTTCTTCCACACACATGCAAGGTGAAAGGGTGTGAATTTTAAGCAGATAGACTGCAAGGCCTGCCTTTGCTGCTGTCATTGCTTTCTGCTCCTCCATACCATGAAAAGTGACTCAGTCTGCATTACTACATCACCCAAAGGAGGTTATGCTAAGTTTGAGTTAAATTAAAAGCAGAAGAAAAATATTGCATGGGTTGCACTTTGTCTTTTTTTGGACATATTTTCTTTAGTCTTTGGTGTGTTGAAGATTCTTATTTGTTGTTTTAAACACAGTATTTTTTAAGGCTAAACTTTTMATGAACTTTTTATAACTATTTTGCCCAATAATTAGGGTGAAGTGTAAAATTTTACTTAATAAATACTGTTTTGTCCTGTAARTTAGTGGTAATTGGGTGTTCATTTTTTATTTTTCTGAAACACTACAAATTAAGAAAAATCTTTGTAAAATCCTTTGGGGAAAATGTAGATGATCTTGCAAGCACTTTTCCTTTAGCCCCCAAGTAGCAAAAAAATGGAGAAGATAAATCTGTCTTCCCAAACTATAAATGTAGTTGAGTAGTGTTCAGAAAATTTTCTCAGACACATTAGTAGRAGTCTGTCATCTGTCTCTGATGGGGCAGTATTTGTGTTTGCCAACACAGCAAACTCTAAAGGCCTTTCTAGAGGTAGTAAACCTTGCAGTTAGCTGAATTGAGCAGCCAGTAACATGGACTAAATGCAGCTGTCAGCMTAAGCCATGCTAGACATTAGTATGTGAATGAACAAAGCACTAGTGCTGTTTTGCTTCCTGACAGAAAGTGCTTGTGAGTGTATTATCGGCATAATGAAGTGCAGAGATGTGCATTGAGCTCTGAAAACAACTCTTGAGCTTTATGACCTAAATTTGGATTTTTGGCTTATTTCCCTTGATATTCTGGAGTGCAGCTCGTGATTTGAATAYGTGAATACTTAGCCTAACCTATCAAAACATTGATAAAAAGTACAAATAAAGCAGTTTGCATACTGCTGCTTACTGAAACCTTATTTCAGTGTTTCGTGGATTACTATATAGCCACCATGTACAATTTACACTTAAAATKATTTCAGTGAGTTACTGCTTAGTTCAAAGCTTGTGAAGCATGGTTGTTATTCAAATGGTTTTTTATTTGTTATGCAAATGAATACTTTGGCCTCAATTACTGCCAGTATTCCTTCAGTGTGGTAGTCAGGGGTTTCCTGCCTCTTGTAAGGCTTTGGAAGCTTTCCTTTGTGGTTGGTTTCCTCCTCTGGCAAATGTTTTATTTAAGTTTGGAGTTAGCAAGCTTGCTTTGCTTGCTCTGAAAAAGAGAAGTAGTTTTCTTAAGCCTTCCTTCTCTTGGGGAGGTTTTGTAGGTTTTTCTGCATTCCCACCTGATCTCACTATRGTAGCAATTGGTTTTCTTTGGTAGMAGCCATGTGTGTTCAGTAAACGCACCARGAAGGGTTTCTCAAATGACAGTGTTTATTCTTTGTTACTAGTGAAGATGGGGCACTGTGTTAAGGACTAGAATTCTGAGGTTTTTGCATTCTTCTGTGCAGTTTGGTATTTCATTTTGTCTGCTAGCTCAGGAAGAGCTAATAGATTAWCTTAGGGCCTTCTTCAGTCATGAATACTGTGGGGTTATTTTCCCCAGAAATTCATACCAGTTTCTGTGCTTTTCTGAAACGCTTCTTGATTTTATTTATTTATTTTTAATTTAAGAATTTTCATTGGTGTTACCAGAAAATATAAGTGCTTAGTTCAAAGGGTTACCTTGATCTACAGTGGCATCGAGGATGTGTTTTGCTGTGTACATTAAATTTTGGTTCAGACTTGGAACTCTTTGTTAAAGAAAATCTCAGAAGTCCACTTCGTATAATGTTTGGTATTTCTTCAATCGTCCGCTTTGTGATCTGAAGAAAATTCCCATTCCATTTTCTAGAATAACTGTATATGCACCACTGACCTTACAGGAAGTCACATCTTCCTTTTTTTTTGTTTTTCCTTGGTGACTATGAAGTACATGGTCAGCCAGCTGCTGCTAACAAATTCCTAATTATGAGAGCATTTTTTATCTATGCTGACATCAAAGATGTAGGAGGTGTTTTTTCTGCACTTCCTGGATTTCAGTTTATCTTTGCTAAATTGTTCAAGATCTGTGAGTAGATCTCCTCTGAAAGAGCATCTTTAAGTGTTTCTGTAATAAAAATCCRTAGTGTATGGGAGACTAGTTGTAAATCTCAAATTCATTAAACGGTCATCATTGTAAGAGTAGCTCAATTCTGTGTGTTTAATTTTGTCATTCTTTTAGTTTACATTATATGATTTCATTCCTAATGCAAGTAACTCTTATCACATTAAGAATTGGTGTCGCTTCACAGAATACAATTGATAGGCCAGCAGCATTTTTCTGGGCTAGCAGATCTTCCAATTGGCAAGAAAGAAGCAGTTTAAATTTTTTTTTTCATACAAAACAATGCAATGTGCCGGAGATCCAGCAGTCAATGCCCACTTATGTGATTATACTGGTAAGGATATCCTTTCACATAAGACTTACCAATTGGTTTGGGTTTTTTTATTGAAAAGTGGGATGGAGAGAACGCCTCTTGTGTTGCACAGTTGAGAACATGGCTTGAWAGCTGCCCTATTGGCAGATCTTGTATGAATTATCATCTCCCTGGTTTTATTTTTGTAGGTAGTAAATTCACTTACTACTGACATGGAAAGACAATTTTAAAAGTCACAGAATCACAGTATTATTTAGGCTAGAAAAYACCTTTAAGGTCATTGAGTCTGACTGTTAACCCAGCACTACCAAGTCCACCACTAAACCATGTCCCTAAAGGCCACTTCTACACATGTTTTAAATACCTCCAGGGGATATCTTGTCCTGCTGGCTGCACTGTTGCTGATACAGAGGCATAAGAAAATAATAATGTAAATAACACTTAGCAATGATTCTCTTGCATTTTGGATTTGATTTGGATTTGATTTGGATTTGATTTCCAGACAGGCAGCTGTTTAAAAACATGAACAACTACTTTTACCCTACATATTGTGTTAGTAGAAATTACTTATAAATGTCATGCTAAATTCATATTTGCTGATTAAATACAAAGTTATAATCAAACTATGATCTCTCTGAGCAAAAACTTCAGTGGCTGAACTGGGGTTGTTGCTACATCCCACTTATCTGCACATAAAACAGCATTAACACCCTTTTGGAAAATGTATTTATTAGAAAATATTTTTATATGTTTCTGCTTAGAAACTTACTCACCTTCATGAGCTACTGGACCAATTTAATTTAAAATTAGCAGGTATTGTTTGAATGGAATTCCTCAGGYCATKCAGAATAATGATTRTGGTTAAAGTCTTTATTTTACTTCRGCAAAAAGAATCTCTGCACAAAATATTTGAGGTTAAAGAATTATGTCTTATTGTGGTGGTTTGACCCTGACTGAATGCCAGGTGCTCACCAAAGCTGATCCCTCCACARCTGGACAGAGGAGAGAGGATAMAATGGAAGGCTGATGAGTTAAAGACTCTCGTGAGTTAAGGGAGAGAWCACTCACCAGTTACCACCATGGCTAAAACAGATTTGACTTGGGGATATTAATTGAAATTATTGCCTAGCAAAATCAAAGCAGGATAATGAGAAGTAAAACCTTAAAACATCTTTCCTTCATCTCTTCTCCCTCACTCCCAGCTCTACCTCCTGSCCCCCAGCAGTGCAAGGAGGCAAGGAATGGGGTTTGCAGTCCATTAATCACACGTTCTTCCTGCTGCTGCTTGGGGAAAGGAGTCTTTCCCCTGCTCCACTGTGGGGTCTCTCCCACAGGATACAGTTCTCCACAAACTTTTCCAACATGAGCTACAGTTCTTCATGCTGTGCTCCAATATGGATCATGGTTTGTGGGGTGCAGTCCTTCAGGAACAGCCTGCTCCAAGCATAGGTCCCCACAGGCGTGACAAGTCCTATGACAAAAACTGTTCCAGTGTGGACTCGTCTCCATGACTCTGCAGGACCCTGCCACAGGCCACTCATGGGGTCACAGCCTCCTCTGATCCATCCACCTCCCCCACGGGCTGCTGGTTTATCCCTGCATCCCTGTGGACCTCTGTGGGCACAGCTGCCACTCCAAGGTCTGCACCACAGACTGCAGGRGAATCTCAGCTTCAATGCCTGCAGCACCTCCTCCCCTCCTCCCCTGACCTGGGTGTCTGCAGGGTTGTTCCTCTCACATGTTCTCACCCTGCTTTCCTTTGCACAATAACTTTTTTCCTTCTTAAATCTGTTATTACAGAGGTGTTACTTCCATTCCTGATTGGCTCAGTGTTGGCCAGTGGAGGGTCCATCTGGGAGCCAGCTGGTGTTGGCTCTCTGGAACACGGAGGAAGCTCCTTGCAGCTTCTCATGGAAGCCACCCTTCTACCTCCTCACTACCAAAACCTTGCCAGGCAAGCCCAAGACAGCCATGCAAAAATGCATGTGCTATATCTGATACAGCAGATTACAGAAAAAATTCCTTTTCTTTGTAATTTCAACTTACTCTCCTCTTGATTTTATGATTGATCATAGCAAATAACAAATATTTTATAATAGCACCTTTCTAGATTTAAATGCTACAAGTCTAAATAATGTGTCTTTAAAGTTATAAAGGGAGAAATATAGAAATAATTGGCTGATTAAACACTGAGTAGATCCTGTATTTCTAATTCATAAAAGGCTAYATTCTGAAGATCAGTTTCAGTAATTAGAGCATGTTTTTCATAGATGMATGATGTACTGCAAAGGGAAAGTCTGCCTAATGATAAGAAAATTGAAGTGCATCTAAAAGAGTGAAATATAGACTTCAGATAGATTTTTAAATGTTTGTTCAAATATTTAATTTGAATGCCTTCCACTAAAGAGGTGGTGAGGGATCTCAAAGCTGCATGACTTACTTGTACCCCAAAACTGTTGTTGATGAGAATAGTGATTCTTTTTTTTTTATTTCATGACAAACTCTGCTATTTATCTGAAATGCTACCTGTTAGATTTTTTTCTGAGAGTGCTTCTTAGTTTGTTGTTGGATATTCATAATGGGAAGTGTAGAATATTCATGTATATGTTTTCCATACTACAAGGCCAAAATTTTTCAAACCTTCTTCATTTTTTTTTTCTAGAATAGTAATTTTGAGCTAATGACTTCTGAAATTTGCYTTAACTTGAGCTGACAAAGTTGTTTTGATGCCTCAGTTGACAGAYAAGTGATTCTCTTGCTAGAATTCCAAAGGCCTGAGAAGGACTACTGTAAAACTAAAACCCTAAGTAGATATATTACTTGCTAAGCAGAATCTGGTAAGCAGATTGGAAGGAGTGCATAAATGCAGATGGAGAGAAATTACACGAGTTGTGTAAGAATCACAGCAAATGGCTGCWGCCAGAAAGAATACAAATTAATAGATCTTTTCCATAGCTCTAGAGGACAACAGGTTAGTTTTAACAAGGAAAGAGCAGTTATCTTTTGAGTCTTCTTTTAAACTTAGTAGCTGGATAGATCTTCTTGTACCACTGGGAGGAGAGGCCTGTATCCTGATTCTTACCTGAATTAGCTTAATTAATTCTTAGCTGAAACCTGGTGAATGTCATAGCTCAGCAGCTTCCAATCCATACAGGATTAACTCAGCTCAGCTGATGCTGGTTTGCAATATGTATTTATGTTTGTAAGGTATTCTACATTAGGGAGAAAGYTGAGAATTTTACCTATCGGTGGTCTGAGAATATTCTAGGACTTTCTAATACATACCATCCAATAATGCACATAGAAGTTCAACTTCCATAGAAGATAAATGCTTTCTAATTTWAACACGTGTGTCATGGATTGGTTTGGGCTGTCATGCTGTTAGATTAATGAATAGTGAAGAGCAAGTGAAAAATCTCTTGAGGARAGCTGATCCCCTTAATACAGTAAATGTTCTAAAAAAAATTATGAAAACCCTTATTTTGTAAGTCACATATAGGATGTAATGATCGGGAATATGTTAAAGCAATGAAAAATACCAACAATTAAGTTATTGCCATGTYGATATAATCTTGTAAATGATGTATTTACAGAATAATTATATATTTTAAGTAGAAATACCATTAAAAAAAAAAAACCTACATTAAATGCATTAGCAGCATTGTGCAAAAACCTTGCTAACATCTGTGGCTGGGTAAAATTAATAGAGAATGTTTCTTAGGCTTACAGTTTCTTGAGGATCTAGCTTGGGTTWGAAGGATTAAGAATTGCTTGTCACAGTAAAAGACGAGGATTTTATAAAGCTGTGAGAGTATATGGTAGGAATCAGGATAAAAATCACACCCACCAATAGGCATATGAGACTAAGCCAGCAAAGCAGYAGTCTTTACTTGCATACACATTTTGAAGTTGTAAAAATTAACTGATGATGCAGCTCGTGGAAGCGTTAGGGATGAATGAAGCACTTGTCCTGAATTCACTGGCACTCATTTTAAACTGTGTATCAGATGTTCATTTATTTTTATCTGTTTTAAAGTAAGCAAATGCCCATTTCTGTGAGATAGGCAAATATGGAGAGTTTCCAAACCTTTAGCTGTAAACAGATTTTTCTTTATCCCTGCCAAGATGTGTTCTTCCCCCTCGTGCTTTTTTCTGCTGTCTGTAATTACTGCAGTGCTCTAAAGCTGTGTGATTAGTACCTTACTATTAGGAGGCAGTGCAAAGTGCAAAGAATGCAAATATTTATCATCACAAATCACAAGGTTTGCATCCTGACTGCAWTAGATAGAAAACTAGTCATTTAAGCACTAGTTTCTACAGCCTTTTCAGCTGCTTTTAAAATGTTTTGCATGCTGTCATTCCATGCTGTATGATTCCTGAAGGATAATAATGTCTTTGTAACTTGAAGGTTTTGTATGTGTGCATGTAGAACTATATTTTTGTGGGTTAGTTTGCATGATAGCTGGAAACACTGCTGTGTATTGAGCCAGCAATCACATTAGTGAGGTTTTTTCTGGTTCAGACACTCTTTGGCTAAYGAAGCTGATGCACCTAGTAAAAGAAAAGTTGCAGTAAACTCATGAATTTATAGATTCCTTGTGCAAAAAAAAAAAAAAAAAGGCAAGGCACTTCTCTTTGAATTTTCTGATGTTCACAGTGGCACAGTGCACAGCTTTCAGATTTGATTGACATTTTGCATAAAAAATAATGTTTTAGAAATACTTAAATCACTACTATGTGATAACCTTATGATTGCAAACGTAGGTTCTATGGGTTTCTTGTTTCAATGTGTTTTAAATGTTCTACAGGAAAAGCCCCTTCATTTTCTAGATTCCTTATAGTGATTTAGAAAAACTTCTTGATGCATCCTTTGTCTTAACTAGATGCACACAAAGACACACAAACAGACACAGACGCACACACTGCYCTGCCCCCAACCTTTCCATAACTACTCCTGATCTATTGTAGCTCCTTCAGGAGCTAATCGAGCTCCTCTGAGAAATAAATTAACTAAGTGGTACAAATTGCATGACAGGGATGTGGGATTGTGTTCCCAGCTTTCTTGAGAGACTGCAGCTGAAGCTAAACTTGCCTTTTTGGCAGCTACAGAGGATGGKTTTTGCCAATACTCTGTCTAGTAAGTTGGCTCAGTTGCTTGCCAGCGTGGAGCCAGCAGAATTCGGATAACAGGTAGCTGTGTAACTCACTGTGCAGTGTGTGGGGTTTCCTTAAARCTATTGATCAATTGACTGTAAAATAGAGGGACCCATACTTGACAATAAGTCACATAGTAGTATGAGATGGTACAGGTGATATGGGATTGCTGTTGCCTTTGGTGTTTGTTTTTTTTTCTTACATGCTTGAAGAGATTTCTGAAGTTTTGCTGATGTGCATGAGCACTTAAATGTAGCCTTCAATATCACAGCTTTTCAAATTGATTTCCAAGGGGAGAAGAAAYATAACTGCATGTGTTTTCTTTCTACAGGGATGAATTGTAAAAGCTACATCATCTTGACCCAAACATAGTGTTACAGTGGACTGCTCATCTCCAGTTCTAAAAGCTTTTTGAAAACCAACAGCATTGCAGCTTGTTTTGGACTTCGTTATACTGTTGTTATCAGCATGGAAAAGCGTGGTGTTTGTTTTATTTTTCTAGATGCTCAAGGCAAATCTGATAAAGAAATGGTGGAAAGTTTTATGTGGGCACTGTTTTATTTAACATGCCTTTATTTCACTTTCATCTGTTCAAAGTGAATTTCTGCAGAACTGCAGATAAAGACCTATAGCTTGTGAACTCTGATTTTGATGGGGGAACTTGAACACTCACTTCTCTCGGCTCCTGTGTCCCTTGGTAAAACTGCTTTTGTGCACCTTACAACACTACGTAGGTAATACCAGGTTTTCCGTGTTCCAATGTCTGCTAGATGCTACTAAAAGGAGATGAACTTCCTTTCTAAGCTTTTGACATGGTGTCATAGACTAGCATGTAGTAGATACAATCAGCTGCTTTTTTACCTTAAAACCAGGCATTTGTATATATTAAATTTCAAGACATCAGAGGTGGGTGGCCACTCTTATCAAACACTGCTGTTCAAGTTGGACATAACAGACATGATTTTCCCTTTTCTTCTAAAATTAATTAATGGATCCTGAAATTCTGTTTTGGTTTATAGCTCAGTGCTGGTGTGATATGCATCGATCTAACTCCATAAAGTTAAAGTGAGGTGTGTTCCAATCATTGAACAGTTTATGCAATGCTGCTTTGCCAAATAAAGTTAAAAGCAGAAGGGGGGATGTGCTTGGTTAGAAGATTAGGATGGGTATGTAGTCTGAGATATGGATTGCTAGGTTCTTTCTAAAAAGACCAAAATCCCATTTGGTTCAAAAAGAAAGTTGCATTTGGCAAAGCTGTTTGCTGTATTAACATTCTTATTTTTATAACTGTGGGCACCCAGGAAAAAATCTGGCTTTTTGAATGAATTTAAAATTGCTGTAAAAGGAAAACATCATAAATGCAGAAAGAATTTTGGATTCTAAGTACAGATAGAAGCACTTGTTCCATTTTCATATGGAAGAATAGTTGGAAGGCTATAAACCCTTTTTTATGCCCTAAGTTTTCTAGTTTGGCACTGTAAAATGTCAACAGAAAATTGTGAAGCAGTACAGTAAGATGGGCTGCTCTGAGAAAGGGGGGGAAGTGTGTCTTTGGTCATCTTGCTCAGATTTGAGCAACCAGGAATTAAAGCAAACAGCACATTATTTTTTTTCTAATGGTAGGAAGGTTTATAAAATAAAACAACTCATAGTCATCACTGCAAAAGAAAAAAACYCAAAACAACTGTTTATGGTGGAAGAACTATAATTTTGTGATGGGATTAATCCCTGGAAGCATAAGGGTTAAAATTCAAAGGCCTCTGAATATGGAAAAGGAACATTTWAAAAACCATTTTTATTCTTCTGTAAAAGATATTATATAACTTAATTTATTTAGATGTTTGGAAGTTAATGTACCACCTCCTGATCCGAATGCAGCCTGGGAGCACATGCACAAGATTAATCTTATAAAGAAATTAATATAGTGTGTATTCTAGAAAATACAATCCAGAGAAATCCACTTGCGTCTGACAAATTTGTACTAACCACAATCAACTGTGACTCTAGTTCTTGGTGTTGAAGTGAAATATCTTAACTGATGCATGCTAACGTTCAACCTTTTGGTCGCTGTATCTTTCAGTTTGAGTTCAGCTTTATTTACATCTTCTCACTAATTTAATCAGTTAAATGAAAGATATGAGCTCAACTGTATCCAAATTCCTGTCTCTGGACACAGTGTAATAAGCTAGCCTGACTTGGAAGTGGTGTTAAAGCTGAGACCCTACGACAACTTCCTGGGGAAGAGCCACTTCAGGAGGTGTAAAGCTCCAGGGACCAAGGCTGGTGGGAGTCGTGCACCCATTCCACTGAAAGGGTTGATGATAGCCAAGGTACTCACACAGAAAGGAGTATCCAGGAGTAGCATTTAGGAGCTGGAAAATGGAAACTCCTCCATGATGGAGCAATGGTTCTGAAATAAAAACTTGGAGACAAGGACACGTTGAAATGCAGAAGACTTGAAGAGCTTGAATAAATGCTGTGTGAACTGTCTGAATTGCTACTTTGCCAAATAAAACAAATTGAGAGGAAACTGTATCWAGGTGTCTGTCTGATTTTGTGGCTGATTTTGTTTTCTTCAACCTTCAACAGCATTTCACATATCCAAAAAGACACCAAGTATGCATAAAAGTAGTGGTTTGCTAACTGACCAGARCTATGTGTCCATTTCAGCCAATTGATGTATTGCAGCAGTTACAAAGCCTGGTAATACTCCCTGAAATATAAATTGAGGGTTTTTTTTTTTTTGTTTGGAATTTCTCTTAGTTCAGATCTGTGTGTTTTGGTGAACAGGGTCTGTACACAGTTCTGTCTGCTATCCACAGTTGAATCCAGCTGCCTTGGAGAGTGTGATTTACCAATTGCAAGGATTAAAGTTTTATCTTTTTATAAGAGGTACAGTCATGCTTCGTTGGGCTGTTACTATCACCTCTAAGCCAGAACAGTTTGGGAGAACGGGTTGGCGGAGCTGCTGAGATGCTTATCCAGCTGTTTCTGGGATCCAGACAGTAGAAGATCTGGAAAGCAAATACCTGTATCTTGAAAGCCCACCAACAGTTGTGGRTTCTCTAGAGAGGAGTTTGATGTTGCCTTATGGATGCTTTCTGTTATTGTAGCAGGAATGACCTGCTTATTTACATTTTCCATCCAAACTGGTCAGCTGGCTTGAGGTCACAGAGCCTGTAAAACATGATTTTTTCTGGAGGGAAAGCAGCACACAGCGCATGAGCACCAGCACTGCTGATGAAGCCACCTGGATGATTCCTGAAATGCTTTGTAGTCATCAAGTTTGAAATGGGCAATAATGCCTGCAGCCAGTGGGGCTCTATGTGGTAGGCTCTGGAGCTTCCAGCTGGCAGCAGTTCTCTCCACATGTGCAGTGTTTTTGTGACAGGGTGACAAGCTCCAGGATTTTTGAGTGTGTAGGGACTGTGGAATTAACCATCAGCACAAAGAGRTAAAGTAAAATACTCAGGAAAATTCTGAACTAGTATTCTTCTTCCTGCCAGGAAGAAGGGTGTTAACCCATTCTTACAGTAGCAATGTTTTCTTCCTTTTACTCATTAATGTGCCATAGGCTGTGCTGCTTTTGATTTAAATGCAGTTCACAGAAAGAGGACGTGACACAATTCCTTCTTAATTTTGACATAATTTTGCATGAGTAATGCAAGCCATGTTTATGATTTGTAGCTTTGKTTTTTTTAGCTGATTTTGAACATATGATGCAGCTTAAAAGATGAATAATTCTAGTTAGCTTTATGGAACCCTTGATCCCTGTCCAAAGCAATGTGGTAGAGATATTCTGCTGAAGTGAATGAGGGGTGGTCCTGGTTCAGAGAAAAGGCARATGGTGAGGTCACACAAGCACATTGTGCAGAAGCAAACAAAAAAATTCAGAGGGAAAGTGTTGCCCCAAAGATGRAATGTGCACAGGGGGAGGCAGGAGATGATGAGCTCTGAATTTGGTCTTTTGCATTTCAGAATGTTCAGATTTCATAGATCAGGAAGGGTGAACCAGAGTTTAAGTACTGTGGTATACAATAGATGGTTTCAAGTGTGAGCTTTAAGTTGGTTTTGTGGGTTTGTATATTTTGTTGGCTCTATTTGAGTTTTTGTCCATATGCTTTTAAATGTGAAAGGTTGTGAACTGCAGAGCAGTTGTGGGAAGTGCACWGACACTCTTAAGGTATCATAACCCCACTTTGCCTCTACTGTAAACCCCACACATTTGTGTACTCAAACCCCCCAACTGGCAAAGTTTGGGGTTCTCTGCCTCAGCCATGGACTTAAACTATGCCTTATGCAGGCAGAGGTGATGTAAACTTTCGTCTACCTGGCCTGTTTACCCCACACACATCATCCTTGGCATACAGGGCTGCCTTCTGTTRCAGGTAGCAGTTTTTTACACAGCACAAATTCATCATGCAGCTGATGCACTCTTAACTTTCCAACRAAAGGCAATTACTGTTTTCTCATGCTCTTGGCAGGGTGTTAATGAGATGCTCAGCAGGATGTGCTCAGGAACCAAAATTGTATTTCTTTAAATTRTGAATTGAGTGGACACAGTTATTGCTGAAATATAAATATGTATGGAGGAGATCCAGCTGCCCATTGAGAATTACCTGAAAGCTTCAGGAAGGAGATATGAAAATAACTTTGTCTCATCACATCAAACTTAGAATTGTAGACAATCACATGTCTTTTAGCAAAACTGTTATAGCAACAACAGAGTATTTTCATAGAGACTGTTGATGGAGTTACTCTGAGACCTCACTTCAATCCTCYAAGGTTTCTTTGTAGTCCAGCAATTTTCATCATATGCTTCTGAGCAACTGACCCTTCTACCAGCAACTGGTAGCTACTCTTGAAAACATTCCCTAATGCTTCTGAGAAGCTGAAATCCTTTTTTCATCCCTGTTTGGTTTTATGTGTGCATTTCATGTATTTTTCCTAGGAACAGGTCACATTTCTTGTTTAGTGTGTTCTGCCAAAAGCTTTTTCAGCTATAATGGAGAAGGGGCAGCTGAGATTAATCAGTAACATTTTGTAGGTGCCTTATGGACTAGGAGARCACTCTCAAAGGTGTCTGATTGGGAAAATGGGTGATTCAGAACATCTGCCTAGGCTACTGCTTGGATCAGAGCTCTAGAGAAGCTCTTCTCCTCTGGATATAGAGGCAGCTTCAGGATGGCCATTTCTTGGGCACAGAGTTAACCTTGGGCTTTCCCTACAGGCCCAAACTTCCACTGGGCTGCCTGCTTTCAAATCCTTTCCAGTCCTGCACCCATTCAAGTTCTCTGCTCCCTCTCTATGTGTATTGTCCAGTCATTTGTTTTGAGTGTAGATACCTTAAATGCATCTCTTTAACACACTGGGCTCCAGTATTTTTAAGAGTTATGTYAAAATTTCTTGCTCTGCCCTCTTTAGAACAGGATTACACATTTGTGTTGGCCAAGCAAGTTGTGACTCTTAGTTCTTCACCAAACCTTTCTGCCTTGTCGGTTTTTTTCCCAGCTTGTTCAAAATACACTTTTCATTGATTTATGAGTGGTTTATAAATGTCAGCCAGGAGCCTTACAAGTGCAAAAATTAAAATCTTAGTGGGTATCCTAAAAAACTTGTTTCTGAAGTGTCTTCTTGTGCTGATCCAGTCATTCTAGATTTCTCTGTGTTTCAGGGCTCCAGTGCAGAGTGCAGCTCACTTTTTGACTTAAATAATTACTTGACAAACACATAGCAGTTACTTTTACACATTTTCCCCCCCTCTAAATAGTCCCTGTTTACAGCACATTTCCCTCTTTAGAATGATTGTTTTGTGGGTTCTTTTCTTTCATGCTCATTACTCTTTGTTTTTTGCCTCTCTCTGGTCTTTATGCATGTCAGCACACTCTGAATCTTCCCTAGCTTTTCCTTTGCTCTTATTCTTTTAGCTTTTGCCATCAGAAACTGAAAAATCCCAATTCCTGATGCTCATAAAAACAGCCAGCACAGTCTCAGTGATGCATGACTGTGGATTCTGTCGGGGCTTACTAGAAAGGCTCTCCCTTTGTTTTGGGGTGGCGTGTTTGCGTTGCTATTGGTTCCTGCCTCTGACTGGCTCTGTGCCGTTTGGGATTGAAACTCCGATCCTTTATCTAGGATTTGAAAAGCAAATGGAGCATCACACTGACCTATTTCAGCTTTTTTGTTTTGCAAATGTGCTCTTGGAACTGCCTCTGCTATTATCCTACAGTGCTATGGAATGATTACAGCGGGATGTTTAGGCTTGGATCCCCTGCAGTAGTGGACAGCAAGCAGCCCATATTATGGAAAAAAATCCCTTATTTCTAAATATGGATCAAACCTAGGTAAGTATTACACTGAAGTAATTTACACCCTTAAGCTGTCCAAAAGGCAAAACAGTTGAGAAAAGCAGTCCCAATGAAATAAGAATCCTGATCAGTATTAAAATACATTGATAAAATAAATGTTAATGACCTCTCCTAATACATAGAAGAGCAATATGCACAGGGCTATGCAATCATTGTAACCAATATTCTGTGCTTACCTGTCTCTAAGATGCTGGTAAGAATAGGTGGACTGAGCATACTCACAGCTATSTGGTTAGACACACTTCAGAGTTTAGGACAGGCAGAACAGATCTGACAGACTTCAAATAGTGACCATTTCCACACAGTGTCTCACTTCTGCTGCAGGATTAACACTTGTGGGTCCCWTTCCACTCAGATTATTCTGTGATCTGTGACCGTGTAAAACTCCCCAGCTCCGAGGTCTGCATGMGAGGCCGTGAGTGCAGTTTTAGCAACGCAGCCATGAACATGGGCTAGAAGCACTGCCGGCTCTGAGCGCTCCTTTGTCATCAGAGGGAGAGCCCCAGCTCGGGAGTGGCTGGRAAGGGGCTACAGAAGTGGTGTCAGCAGGAGGCAATGGCTGGGAGATGCCTGTGTCTACAGTATTTTCTCTTAGTCCCAGGTGTGCTTTAGCTCATGAGTTCAGTATAACTTATTTGAAATCAGGGAACATTAAAACTATTAAATGCAAACACATGGCATTGAGGCCAGAGTGTGTGTTAATTGCAGGAGCTGCCAAAGCCAATCTGTTAATTTGCTAACTTTGTCTTGCTCCCCATCCAGCTGACAATGCCCCCAGGTTCTTTGGTAAGGTGATAAAAATTTTATTTCAGTCCAGTCGTGGAGTTTGCTGTTACGTGGGAACTAACAGCCCTCAGCCTGGTGGCCTGCAGGGCAGCAACTTGTCACCATCTCCCCTCCCAGAAAGAAGAGTCCCTGGGAAGACTGTGGCAACTCTAACACAGAACTAGCCYGACTCCTGTACCATGCTTGCTGTCTGCTGCTCTGCTCTGCTCTGGGGTGTTCATTCTCAGCTGTCACATGCAAAATGCGTGAAGGTTTATTCCACTAGCAGCAGCACAGAAACAAAGCCTGCTCTTGGGTAAAGTGACTGGAAAACTGAGCAGCTTCTTGCACCATGGCTGTACTGGCTGGCTTRTGCTTTGTGCGAGATCTCACTGCTGTCCTGCCTGGAAGAACAAAA